TATTATTGATATTGTTTGATAATTTCCACATTCTGTTGGATCACCTTTCTTTGGAATGGGTACAAATATGGATCTCTTCTGGTCGGTTGGCCAGGTAGCTGTCTTCCAAATTTCTTGGCATAGACGAGTGAGCACTTCCAGCACTGCATCCATTTGTTGAAACATCTCAGTTGGTATTCTGTCAATTCCTGGAGGCTTGTTTTTCCCCAATGCTTTCAGTGCAGCTTGCACCTCTTCCTTCAATACTGTCAGTTCCTGATCATATGCTACATCCTGAAATGGGTGAACAATTCTTTTTGGTACGGTGACTCTGTGTATTCCTTCCATCTTCTATTGATGCTTCCTGCGTTGTTTAGTATTTTTCTTGTAGAATCCTTCAATATTGCAACTTGAGGCTTGAATTTTTTCTTCAGTTCTTTCAGCTTGAGAAATGCTGAGCGTGTTCTTCCCTTTTGGTTTTCTATCTCTAGGTCTTTGTGTATTTCATTAAAATACTTCGTCTTCTTGAGCCCCGCTTTGAAATCTTCTTTTCAGCTCTTTGACTTCATTATGTCTTCTTTTCGCTTTAGCTACTCTGCGTTCAAAAGCAAGCTTCAGAATCTCTTCTGACATCCATTTTGGTCCTTTCTTTCTTTCTTGTCTTGCTAATGACCTCTTGCTTTCTTCAAGTATGATGTCCTTGATGTTATTCCACAACTCATCTGATCTTCATTCATTAGTGTTCAGTGCGTCAAATCTGTTCTTGAGGTGGTCTCTAAATTCAGGTGGGATATACTCAAGGTCATACTTTGGCTCTCGTGGACTTGTTCTAATTTTCTTCAACTTCAACTTGCATGTAAGCAATTGATAGTCTGTCCACAGCCAGCCCCTGGCCTTGTTCTGACTGATGATATCGAGCTTTTCCATCCTCTCTTTCCACAAATGTAGTCGATTTGATTCCTGTGTATTCCATCTGGTGAAGTCCATGTGTATAGTCGCCATTTATGTTGTTGAAAAAAGATATTTGCAGTGAAGAAGTTGTTGGTCTTGCAAAATTCTGTCATGCTATCTACAGCATCGTTTTTATCACCAAGGCCATATTTTCCAACTATAAATCCTTCTTTGTTTCCAACTTTCGCATTCCAATCGTCAGTAATTATCACTGCATCCTGATTGCATGTTCAATCAATTTCAGACTACAGAAGTTGGTAAAAATCTTCAGTTTCTTCATGTTTGGCCTTAGTGGTTGGTGTGTAAATTTGAATAATAGTCATATTAACAGGTCTTCCTTATAGGTGTATGGATATTATCCTATCACTGACAGTGTTGTACTCAGGATAGATCTTGAAATGTTCTTTTCGACGATGAAGGCGATGCCATTCTTCTTCAGTTTGTCATTCCCAGCATGGTAGACCATACGATTGTCTGATTCAGAATGGCCAGTACCAGTCCATTTCAACTCACTAATGCCTTTATGTGTTTCATTTCATTTTTGATGCTTCCAATTTTCCTAGATTCATACTTCATACTTCCCACATTCCTATTATTTATGGATGTTTGCAGCTATTTCTTCTCATTTTAAGTTGTGCCACGTCAGCAAATGAAGGTCCCGAAAGCTTGACTCCATTCACGTCATTAAGGTCGACTCTACTTTGAGGAGGCAGGTCTTCCCCAGTCGTCACTGAGTGCCTTCCAACCTGAGGGGCTCATCTTCTGGCACTATATCAGACAATGTTCTGCTGTTATTCATAAGGTTTTCACTGGCTAATTTTTTCAGAAGTAGACGACCAGGTCCTTCTTCCTAGTCTGTTTTAGACTGGAAGCTTAGCTGAAACCTGTCCACCATGGGTGACCCTGCTGGTATTTGAATACCAGAAGCATAGCTTCCAGCATCACAGCAATACTCAAGCCCCCACAGTACCACAAACTGACCAATGCGTGGAGGTGAAATTATATAGTTCTTCTTTCATTTATTTCCCGTCTGCCTTCCTAGGATGTCGGCTTCATGAGAGTAGGACTCAATCTTTCTTGTTCACCACTGTATTCTGGAACAGCGTATAGCACATAATAACCACGTAATAAATATTTGGTATCTAAATATTTAAAATAGACATTAACAGGGGTGAGTTGGTATGTGTTGGACACCCTGATACACTCTGGGGATTGAGAGTGGAGTGGGATCTGGTCCCTATCTGAAGGGAGCACAGTCTAGAGGCCCCTCCGTGAAGAGTGGGGTTTCTCATTACCACAGACCAGTGCAGCTTCTTCTGCAGCATCCTCTTCAGCCCCCGCCAAACCCGGCCTTTTAGACTTAAACTCAGATGTCACCTCCTCCAGAAAGCCTTCCCTGCCACTCATAGTGGCACTGATGCTGTACACTCGCTCGCTTTCACTTTGATTCTCTCTCTCTGCTGCCTCTTGTGCTCCCTCCATTCCCCACACAGATGTCCATGTCACTGAGCTTCACTATGTTGTAGCACAAATGAGTAACTCTTTTCCACTAGACTGAGCTCCACTAGAACTGGGACTATGTTTTGCTTACCAGTGTCCCCAGGGTTTGACAGAAGCCTCTTTACAAAGTAGACACTTAACAAGTATTTGTGAAATAAATGACAGAACAAACCAGTATAAAATGATTAAAACAACCCTGATCACCTCGTTTCACTGAATGAATGAATGAATGACAAGCTGGACACACCCAAGTGGGCTGTGTGTCCAGTTTCTGAGCCTCCCTGGCTGCAGGGCCGGAGACAGGTCTGCACAGGTGTCCTCTGAGGCTGGGAGCCAGGGGCGCCGCGAGCCAGTGTGGTCGTTCCCTCCTCAGGCCTTCTCTCCATGGCCAACTCCGGCCCAAACACCAACGGCTCCCAGTTCTTCCTGACGTGTGACAAGACAGACTGGCTGGATGGCAAGCACGTGGTGTTTGGGGAGGTCACCGAAGGCCTGGATGTCTTGCGGCAGATTGAGGTAGGTGGCCGGAATGAGCCTCCTCCTCCCCGCCCTTGGTGCACAGCCCTGTTGGGGAGCTGAGGGGCGCTCGGTGGCCAGGAGAGCTGGGCCCGGGGCTCCCCAGGAGGAGGGGCTGCTCTGCCCTGTAGCCCTTCTTCTGAAGGGACAGGTTCTAGGGTGGGAGTGGGCAGATGGGGTGGGTACCCTAAGCAGCTCTTTGTCCCCCCCTCGTCCCTCCCCCGATTCCTCCTCTTCTGTTCTGCACAAAGGCCCAGGGCAGCAAGGACGGGAAGCCAAAGCAGAAAGTGATCATCGCTGACTGTGGAGAGTATGTGTGATCTGGCTCTTTCTCTGCTCTGCCCTCTCTCTGCTCCTGCCCGTGTGTCCAGGGGAACCAGCAGGGGGTCCCTGAGGGTGTCCCTTTGAAGAAGCAGTGTTTGTACCAGGAGACCTTCCTTGGTGACCATTGGAGAAGCCCCTCTGCAGGCACGGTGGGGACTTCCTTTGGGCTCCTCCCAGAGCGTGGCTGTGGGCACGGAGCCAGCGCAGGTGCCTGCCCGCCCCACTGTGGATGGTCCGTGGATGGTCACCAGCTTCACCAGGCCTTTGCTGCCGGGACCTCTCCTGGGCCTGCTGGGACGTTTTCTTCTGGTGAAAGAAATCCTAGTTTTTGTACTGCCACCTCCAGCTAGCTCCTGGGAGTTGTCAGAAGTTGCATCTATAGCTAAGTTGTCCCACTGAGGCAGGCTTTTCTTCCCTCCCTGGGCTGATTCCCTAAGAGTCCAGTCAGATGTCACTGTCAGACCATAGTCAGGGACATTGTCAGAGGACATCAAAGGTCGTGGGAAAGTTCCTGTCTCCTGCTGCCTCTGCTCCTGAACTCATGCTGGCCAGTCTTATCGCCAACTAGCATACTTGCCAGTCTCCGTGATCACTTGTTTTATTTGTTCATCCATTCTACAGTTATTTTTATAACTCAGAATGCCTTCTCTGTGTCAGATACTCATTTGTCAGGAGACAGAGGAGGTTGGCAAACTATGGCCAACTAGTAATCCAGCCCACTGCCTACTTTTGTGAATAAAGTTTCTTTGGAACAAGCCACATCCGTGCATTTACATATTATCTGTGGCTGCTTTCTGTGATTGTACTGGTATTTCCTCTCTTTACCAGCACATCTGCCTCCAGGTGTACCATTTGTCTCAGTCACGCAGCCTCACAGCAACCCTCTGAGGAACAAGTTGTGGGACCTGCTTTTTAGTGGAGAAAACTGAGTCTTATAGAGTTCAGGTGATGGAAAACTAGAGAGCCATGTTTTCAAAAAATATTTAATAATTGAAATTTTTACTATATAATAAAGTGGAGAAAGGATGTCACAAAGCAATTTATATGGTATATAAATAACGTATAAACATATATTTGTATGTATAATCAAAGAAAAAAGCCTAGAAATAAATTCACCAAAATATTAATAGCATTTATCTTAGTACTAGGACTGTGGTGATTTGAATTATATTTTACCTTTGGTGTTTTCCTAAATTTCCTTGAAACTGCATTATTTTTGTAATAGATTAAAAAACACATTTTTTAAAAGGTGGGTCAAGCAATTGCATAAGGCTTTTCATAAGTAGTAAAACCCTGGATGGACAATTCGCCTGTTCAAATTGCCGTAAGAGGACCTGGTGGGTTCTAAACTCCCAGCAGGATGTGGCCTGTGGAATCCCGGCATCTCTGAGAGCACACGGCAGTTTCACTGGCCATTGCCGGCCTGGGCATGTTCATCAGGCCTTTAAAGCAGGTGAGAATATAAGTCCTCCCCTCCTTCCCTTGGGGACGGCTGTGTGTAGATTTTTTAGGGAAAAGCACAGCTCTGAAATAAATACACTATCACCTGCAGAACACATTCAGGGAGGAGGTTTAATGGGACAGCACAGAGGTGGTTCAAAATCAGCAAATTGGTTTGTAATAAAAATGCCAACAGCTGCCTGTTGTTAAGCATTTACATGCCGGTCATTGTGCTGAATGTTCTGGAAGGAAAGAAGCAATACCTTACTCTACAGAGAAAGTAGAACCAGGATTCAAATCCATTTGGTTCCAAAAGTCTATACTCCTACTATACTGCCCCTTTTCCTATTTCCTAGAAGTTTTCCTAGCGTGTGGTACTTCCCTACCTTGGTTGTTGTTAGTTGTGTCAATTCAGTTCATACTCATGATGACCCCATGTGTGCCAGAGTAGAACTCTGCTCCATAGGGTTTGCTTTTGGAAGCAGATCTCCAGGCTTTTCTTTCAAGGTGCCTCTGGGTGGGTTCAAACCACTAGCCTTTTGGTTGGTAGCCCAGTGCTTAACTATTTGTGCCACTCAAGGACTCCTAGTCAGAAGCCTGTGAACACTAAAACGCTCATGACCTGGCATCGAGGCCAGTGTTGCACTGCAGTTAGCAGGACTGCTGTCCATTTCTCCTCAGCCTTTTTATATGTGTCCCGGGGCAGATTATCCAATAAACCAGGTAAGCACAGGGTTACTTGTACTTACTTACTAATCTGTAGTGAACAATTTCACATTTTTTCACCACATCAAAGATTCTTCTAGGTATGGCTGGCATCTATCTCTCTCCCAACTCCACAGCACCTTCCTACAGAACCAAAGCCTCTTTTTACCAAATTCACAATCCCTGACGGGTGGATGACTCAGTAAGCAAGCTAAGCACAGGCTTACTTGTGCTTACTTACTATTCTGTAGTGAACAATTTCATGTGGGTTTCACTTTGATGTGGTGTGGTGAAACCCATGTGAAATTGCTCACTACAGATTAGTAAGCACAAGTAAGCCCGTGCTTTCCTTGCTTACTGAATAGTCCGCCCGATTGTGTCTTCCCTTCCTGTCAACTGTCATCGATTTCTCATTGCTGTCAATGGGTCTGAACTGACACCCCTCCCCCCTTATTTATCTTTCTAGTCTTGTGCAACCAGATGAACAAGCCATTCCCTGAGCAAGGGAAAGGGAAGTGATGGCACCTGCCAGCTTGGGCCACCCACTGTAGCCACCATGTTTGGCTCATCAAACATGACTCTTGTGGAATAAAACGCATGGGCTTTGTGTCCACAATTGTTTTATGGCTCAAGGGATTTTTCTATTTGATTTCATTTGGTAACCATTTGAATGCCAAAAGTTGATGGAAGTCTGACTATTGGGCAGGTAGGTGATGACTTAACTGTTTTTAATCTGTTCTGCATGAAAAAGGAGGATTGCAACTCCTACTCATTCTGCTGGCACAGCATGACAGGGAAGGTTGACTCAGCATCTTCAAACCTTGGGTTGATTTGACAGACACCTAATAGTGCCAGGTCATTGGCTGGGCACTAAAGATACCAGGTCAAGTAGAAATTTAGTTTTCAAAATAACTGGCTAATTTACAGTTCTCCACTCTCCTTGATGTTGGGAAAAGAGAACTGTTAAGTAAGTACTGGAATGGCAAATAGATTCCCGGTTACGTGCTAACGCTGATCTGTGATGGCCACCCGAGTCTGCATTCAGGGCTGTGAGCCCAAGTCTGGACTCAGTATGAGACAGGGCTGGTAGACACATTCCCTGACTGGAAGGCCCTTTGGAGACAGAAGAGTCCAATGCCTTCTGTTACAGATGGAAAACTGAAGTCCAGATGAGGAAGCTAACTACATGTCAGGTCTCCTACATCCAGGCCAGGTCCCTATGTAGGTAGGTGATGGGGAACTCACTACCTTACAGACAGGCTGGGCCTGCCCCCCTGTGCAGGGGAGGGTCTCCCAGGTCCAGGTGGAGGCGCTGCTGTCCTGCAGCACAGCCCCCAGGCCCACCCCTGCCAGACCTGCTCTCCTGGAGGCCCCTCCTCAGAGATGCGTATCACTGGGCTGGGCCTAAAGACGGGGTGGGGCCAGGAGCTGCTTTTAGTGACGGTATTTCAGGGTTCCTGCAGCTGGACTCCACCAGCAGGTTAATTACAGGCTTAGCAAGTCAGAAATCAAATGAACACTCCAACTCCCAGCAGCTGCTCCAAGGAGAAAGCACAGTCGTCTCCAGGAACAGTGGAGGCTGAGACAAACCTCCCCACCCAGCTCAGCTTAATTATTGCCTGTCACTGCCCCGGAACGGGTTTTTTTGGCTCACAGGCCCCAAGAACCATGACAGGGCTCCTGGGCACAGAGGGTGACACAGACTGGTGACCAGCCTGTTTCTGACAACTGGACACAAATGCAGGTGCTGACAAGCCCCTGCCCTCACCCCCTGTCTGGGCACTGGCTATCCAGTGTGGTGGATACAAGGCTCTGGGTAGAATGGGTTGTGCCCTAGCGTGGCAGGAGATGGCAAGCAGTTCTCACATCACATGCCCACTTGGATCTGTAGGCAGTGGCTGCCTGGATGTCTGTGTTGATCATTTTGAGATTCTGTCCAGATCCGGGAGAGAAAATGTCAAGATTGATTATTGATGGCTGCCACAGAGAAGGGAAGGGGAAATGATGGCATCTGTGCTATGCCACCCACCCCGTTTGGCTCAGCAAACGCATAACTTCCACAGAGCTCAGCTCTCGATCAGTCAACACAGTGAAGGGGAAAGATGAGTTCACTGGAAGCCCCCAAGGTGCTTTGATGCTCCAAAGGCCAACAACAGTCCACACACTGCACATCTTCGCCAGGCAGCAGAGGCAGACAGAAGGGCAGGAAGCAGGAAGATAAATGCCATTAGCTTTAGCCCAGAATCATTATGTCCATTCAGCTCTTTCTTGAGTTGGCCCACCTGTCTATCTGTGGGCAGCAGTTTGGTAATTCAGATCAAAGAGTATACAACACTGAGGACAAGTCCATGCTATTCTCCAGAAAAGCCCAGTGTTGCAGCTGGGAGGGGCAGGCAGTAGAGGTGGGCCAGACCCCATCTACATATACTGGAACCCTGTAATGGGTGGAGAAGAGACTGTATGGGCCAGTCTCAGGCTCCAGGTGCCTCTCAGGTCATCCCACAGCCTGAGATGGGCCAGTGATGGTCATGGACAGGTCCTCAGACAGGACTTTCGTGCCAACCCCAGAGAGCCCAGTCAGCACGTGCTTCTGGGGCAGGAGGGTAAGGTGGACCCCTGCTTGCTGACTCAGAACCCCAGGGCTGGAGGCAGGAAAGTGTGTCACAGGCCTCAGGCAGGGGAAGTGGGGGTAGACAGTCCTGGAGAGGACAGAGCCTGACATGAAGGAAGCAGGGGCATGGACAAGGTGACCTCTGAGGGCCATCCCTGCCAACCCTGCCTAGGGTTTGGGGATTTCCTGCCCCTGGAGAGAGGTGAGAAGTCTTCTGGGGTCCTGACTGGGTGGGGCTGGAGGGCTGCAGCAGGCCCAGGCGGGCGCGCCTTCAGTGGCAGCCACAGGCCTTGACCACCATGTTGCGGTGCTTGCGCAGGATGACATTGTTGCTGCTGTCGTAGTAGAGCACGGAGGTGGCGCTCAGCTTGGTGGGCGCGCAGCATGCCTTGGGGACAGCGTCAGGCTTCATCAGGTGCACCTAGCCAGGGAGGGCAGAGGCAGAGGCGTGAGCACGACAGCCTCCTCCGAGGACCCACCCACCCAGCCCCCAGCTCCCACCTGTTCCCCGCGCAGGCCCCGGCTCACAGCTCTCCGGCCCTGCACACTCCATCCTCTCTTGCAGCCACAGTGGGTGCTAACTGGCACGGCTGACCCTGCCACTGCCCTCCTGGGGCCCTTCCCTCACCCGTACTACCCTCAGGGCTCAGCCTGAGCCCCTGGCTTGGTGGTTCAGGCCCCACATGCTTGTCCCACTGCTCCCCGGACCTCCTGCCCACGCCCTGCCATGTCCACCCCCTTCAGACATGGAAAGTCTGCTGTTCCCCCAACACACCATGCACCTGGTGCCCAAGCCCTCTGCCTGGAACGTTCTCTGAAGGACCTCCTCTGGGATCCCTCCACTTTATCCTTCTCCGTATCCCTGATCATATCTTTTTCTTTTTTTTTTTTTTCAGCCTTTGGTTTTTTTTTATTGTTGTAGTTTAAATGAAGTTTACATTTAAAGTTAGTCTCCCATACAAAAATTTATACACACACTGTTATGTGACCCTAAATGCTCTCCCCATAAAGTGACAGCACACTCCTCCTTTCCACCCCTGATTCCCCATGTCCATTCAGCCAGCTCCTAACCCTCTCTGCCTTGCCATCTCACCTCCAGACAGAAGCTGCCCATTTAGTCTCTTGTATCTGCTTGAGCTAAGAGGCACACTCCTCATGAGTATCAGTTTATGTCCCATAGTCCAGTCCAATCCCTGTCTGAAGAGTTGGCCTCAGGAACTGTTTTAGTTCTGGGCTGATAGAGAATCCGGGGGCCATGCTTTCCAGGGTTCCTTCAGTCCCTGATCATGTCTTGTCATCATGATCTGTTTGTGGGTCTGTCTCCCTCTCCAGAGGGTGACCCAGTGAATGTTCATAGAACATTCTAGACATTCAAGGTTCACCTTTGATGTGTTCGGCACTCAGGGGCAGATTATCCAATAAGCAAGGTAAGCATGATACTAACCTTACTTACCAGATCATCTGTAGTGAACAATTTCACATGATGTGGTGAACACATGATGTGGTGAAACCCATGTGAAATTGTTCACTCCAGATTAGTAAGTAAGCACAAGTAAGCCTGTGCTTACCTTGCTGACTAGATAATCCACTCCTGTCAGGGACTGTAAATTTAAAAAGAGGCTTTGATTCTGTAGGAAGATGCTGTGGGGTTGGGAGAGAGACAGATGCCAGCCAGACCTAGAAGCAAATCTTTGATGTGGTTAAAAAAAAAAAAAGTGAAATTGTTCACTAGAGATGATCTGGTAAGCAAGGTAAGCACTGTGCTTACCTTGCATATTGGATAATCAGTCCCTGTCAGCACTATCATCTCTCAAAGTACTTTCTGATTTCATGACAACTTCTGAGGCAAGCATTGCTCTGTGCAGATAAGGAAACTGAGGCACAGAGACCACGGGACGCATCCAGAGTCACATGCCTACTGCAGTGTGGCCAGGATGTGCCCCAGGTCAGTGATCTCTCTACCACACCCTAGAACAGCTTTTACCCACCAAAAGAGCCTGACTGAATGAGCAGGCCATTTTCAGCCTCCATAAAAATACTGATCCTGAGACTTGGCTGGATGAGCTGCTGTTTACACTGAAGGTCCCCAAGGTCAGCACCACTGTCCAGTGGGGATGTGGAGACAGAAGGAAACCTGCTGCTGGCAGTGTGTGTGGGCTGCTCGACTGGCCAGGACCTCCAGCCCTCACAGGTGCTGCTGAGCAGGACCCAGACGAAGCTGTCTGACAGGGGGCCTGTCCCACAGCCTGGCCTCCTCGTCCCCATTGCCCCCATCACCTTTGTCTGGAAGCCCCAGCAAGGCCTCTCCAGGGATGTCCACCCAGACTAGGACATGGGGCCGCTGCTGCCAACTTTCCAGCCTCCACATGTGGGGGCTGGGCTCTCGGCATTTATGGGCCCATCTGAAGAGGCCAGGAGACATCACCCACGAGTGCCGGCCATGGGGCTCTAAGGCTGGGAACTGGGGAGGGTTTCTGCTGAGCTGGGACACGCGGGAGGGAAGTCAGTACCATGGGTGCTGCCATTCTATGACTCCTTACCCGAGACCAGAGTTCTACCCAATGAGCGACAAAAAGAGACATGGCCTTTTATACTGCCCAAACAGACTGATGAAAGAGATTTGTGAAGTCTAACATATCACTTATTCCCAAACTGGTAAGTCAGTGGTTAAGCACTCAGCTGCTAACAGAAAGGTCCCACTAGCCACTCCATGGGAGAAAGGTGTGGCAGTATGCTTTCTAAAGATTAAAACCTACTGCTGTCAAGTCAATTCTGACTCATAGTGACCTTTTAGGACAGAGTAGAACTGCCCCATAGCGTTCCCAAGGAGCGGCTGCCGACATTTTGGTTAGCAGCAGAGCTCTTAACCACTGTGCTACCAAGGCTCAGTCCATAAAGAGTACAGCCTTGGAAACCATATAGGGCAATTCCATTCTGTCCTATAGGGTCGCTATGAGTTGGAATCAATGCAACTGCAATGGGTTTTTGATTTAATATGTCACTTGATTCATTTCATCTCGGGTCAAGAAATAATAACTAACATCTTTGCACGATTCCCATGTGCCACACACTATGCTAAGTACTTTACATATATTCTATTAGAAATGCGTATTGTTACTTTTTTGTACATGAATGCACATGTGTGTATGTATAGATTTATAGACCTTTCAACATATTGATGTCTCTCAAATTCATAGCTTCAGTTTGGCCCTCTCCCCTCAGCTCCAGACACGTGGATCCAACTACCCACCTGACATCACCACCGAAGGATCTAACAGGATATCAGATGTATCGTGGCCGCAACAGAATTACCAATTTCCACCAGTCCTCCCCTCAACCCTAACAACAATTCTGCGCCACACCAGGCCTTCCCTGTCCTTGGTAAACAGAGTTCTTATCCTCTCACGCTCCTCAGGCTGCACACACAGAAGGCACCTGATCTTCTCCTTCCTCACCCCCTCCATCCACTCCATGGGAGCGTCCCATTGGTCTGCCTCCACCATCTATGCTCCTCTGACAACTTCTGACCACCTACCCAGTCGCCCTGTTCAAGCTGCCACCACCTCTTGTCAGGCGCCACAGCAGCCTCCTCACTAGCCTCCCTGCCTCCTCCACCCTTGACCTCCTACAGTCCATCCTCCCTACAGTGGCCAGAGAGATCCTTCTAGAGAGTAAGGCAGATCATGACACTCCTCTGTTTAAACACTCTAACAGCTTCTCAGTTCACTTGGTTGAACTCGGTCCACCCTGACTGGGGACCACAGGCCCTCCATGATGTGGCCCTGCCCACCTTCAACTTCACCTCCCTTCACCCTCCCCTTTGCTCACTCCACACCAGCCCCGCCTTCCTGCTGGCTCCAAGCTCATTCCTGACTTAAGGACCATGATGGTTAATTTTATGTGTCACCTTGACTGAGTCTTAGTGGTTTGTCCAGATACTGGACTGGGTGCTGTTCTGTAATGTAATGTAATGTAATAATCGTCCATGATGTGATCTGATGTGATCAACCAATCAGTTGAAAGGGGAGTTTCCTTGGGTGTGTAGCCTGCCTCCAGAATGTAAATGGATATTCTGGCAGAAATGCTCTCTTTCGACCCGGCACTCTTCTAGTTGCCTGACCTCTGGATCTTAGGATGAAAGCCTGCAGAAGTCTCTCGCCTGCCACCTGACCTACTTATTTTGGACTCACCAGCCTCCGCAGTCCCATGAGCCAGCAGAGGTCTCCAGCCTGCTGCCTGGCCTATGGATTTGGGACTTGTCAGCCCCCACAACTGCATGAGCCATTTTCTTGAAGTAAATCTCTCTCTATATATATTTATATATATTACATATACATCTCACTAGTCTTGCTCCTCTAGAGAACCCAACTAAGATGGGGCTTTTGCACTTATTTGTCTCCCTGGAACATTCTCCCTGCAGCTCTTGACACGCTCCTCCTCCTGCAGAGGCCCCGCCCAGTCTCTCTCTGCTGAGTGGCCCACACTTCCTTTCCTCACAGAAGGCATCTTCGAGTCCCCTGGTCTGTGTGTTCACTGGCATCAGCCCCAGCAGGTAGGGGCTGTCTGATGTGCCGCCCAGCCCTCGGTGAGTGCCCATGTCTGTGACTGATGCCTTGGGAGGGGCTGAGGGCCTGGGTCAAGGTGGTAACAGGAACTGTGCGGGGGGGACAGACTCTTGGGAGTACAGGTGAGATCATCACACCTGATAACCTCCTCACAGGGCAGTGGGAACCACATCACACACGGGCTGGGCCAGGTTCCTCCACACATGTCTTAGCATCCCCCCCACCTCTGCCCCCTGAGCTTTTCCAAAGGAAGTCAGCTCCTGGGTGTCCAGCAGACCCCATCTGACTGCTGGGAAAATAAGCATTAGCACAACATCAAAGCTGCTTTTGTTAATTCATTTGCTCTCAATCTAAGACAGTGATTGAGTCTAGTAAGCATAAGGATCTGGGAGACTAAGAACTAGGATTCCAGGTAAAAAGTTCTAGAAAGCCGTTTCAACACCAGAATCCGCAAACACAGAAAGCACTAACAATAAGCAGGAGCAACAGGTTCCTATTAGAAAAAATTTTAAGCTTTTAGAGTTCCCTCAGAACCTGGGGCATCGAAAAGCATACAGTCTGTAGAACCCACGGAGAACTAGGAGGGACTAGGGGAAAGCCCGTGAAAGGAAACTGAGGAGTTGAGAGCCAAAGCCCACGGTGTGTAAGCGCCACACGCTGGAGTTCCCTGACACACGCCAAGACAGAGGGTGTGCGGGGGTGCGTGCGTGCAATGACGGAGGGTGTGCGGGGGCGCAAGCCATGATGGAGGGTGTATGGAGGCACACGCACACCGCTCACATCGTGTGTACATGCGTCACAGGAGGGCAGCACACACAGGTTCACGGGGGCAGATGTGTGTTAAGTTCACACAGGTACCCAGGTGGGTGTGCGTGACTGTTACATATGCCTGGGCATCTGACCACATGGAGGTGTGCCCACATAAGTTCACAAATGTCCCATGTGTGTATGTGCAGCGCAGAGACCGTGTGTGTACACGGCTTTTTAGTCGATGTCTGCGGTGCACGTAGGTTCAGGTGTATACTGCGTGTGCATGAATTTAAGCAAAGAAAACTCCCCCAGACACGGAGCAGGTGCTCTCATTCCCCTGCGGGCTGTACGAGCCCCCTCCCGTCAGCCCCCCACCCCCATCCCCCTCACCCCTACCCAAGGTGCAGGCAGGACAGGCGCGGTACTGACCAGGGACTGCAGGATGGCGTGGTTGGTGGCATTCATGCAGGAGTCCAGTGGGAAGGAGCACTCCCCCTCACAATAATAGGCCGAGTAGCCTTGCGGGGCGATGACCCAATCCTGGGGGGAAGGGAAAGGGTGAGTCCACCATGTGCTCTTCCCGGGTCCCTGGGTCCAGCGCCGTCACAGGAGGACTCATGGCTGTGCCTCCCTGAGCCGCAGGGCGCATCTAACATCCTTGGGCTCCACAACCACCTCAGAGGTTGGAAAGCCCCGGAAGACCCTCAGTGGATAGGGCTGGGCACAGCCTGTCCCCTCCACACCCCGCCAGTGCTCTGCTGCCACACCCTCATGTCTCCTGTAGCTGCAGCCGCAGCAAACGTAGGGAGGCAGTGCCCACCCTGCCTCAGTTTCCCTGTGGCAGCTGTGACATTTTAGGTGCCTGAGGATTCAGAGTCTCCATTTTCATGATTTTTACCAAAAAATACTTTCTCATTACAAAAGTGGCACATTCTCACTTTAGAAAACTTGGGAAATACCAAAGGTAAAAAATACATAAAAAAGAAAAATCACCCATAATTCTACCTCCTCCCGGGAGGGACACTTAGGATGGAAAGGTGGGATTGTCAGTTAAGGAAGGAGCAGAGTCGGGAGTTACCAGCCAGCCGAGGTCCTGGAAGCTGACGTAGAGCTCGTGCCGCTGGCACACCTGCCGCCCGACGGAGCCGTGGACATCATCTGGAGGGACAGACAATACAAGGTCTTTTCTGGAGGCCGACTCTGTCCACCTACCATGTGGGGGTCCCCAGGAAGGGGTCTGCCCTGACGGGCATATTTGTTGAATAAATAAATGATGGGAATTTAAGCATTTGGTCTCATAAAGCCCAAACCTGGAGCTCAGCTCATGCCACCACCCGGCTCAAGAGCCTTCAATGGCTCCCAGTTACTGTAGAGTAACTCCGTGCTCAGCCTGCCCCCCCGTCCCCATCAAACAGGACCCTTGGCCACCCCAAGGATGGAGGACAAGCACATCCTTTTTCCTCCAGAGACAGCTCCCACCCTCTCCAGCCACGTCCATTCCACACATTCAAGTGCGCTCGGCTGAGCCCAGCAAAGGGCAGCGCCCGTGAAGCAGGGAACATGGCAGGTCACGGCTGTCCCTGACCCGAGGGGCTCGGCCCAGTGAGGTGACCTTTACATAAATAACTGCAGATCCTGCAAGTGTCCAGGGAAGAATCAAGGGCTGAAAGGGCCTGTGGCTGCCTGGAGGAAGGGGCGATTGACTCTGAGCGAGGTCTGGGAAGGGCTCCTGGAGAAGCCAAGGGAGGGCAGAGAGGGGACTTCCAGATGGAAGGGCGGTCAGTGCAGAGGCTCAGAGCATGAGAGAGGGGAGCGGCCGGTCGCCTGGTGCATGGGGCAAAGGCCGGTGTCTGGAGAGGTGGCTGGAGGGAGCCTGGTCGCTTGAGCCCTCCTGAAGGCCCGGAGGGTGCTGTCCCACCACCTGGCTCCCGCGCAGCCTCTCTAGGCAAACGCCTGCCAGAGCTCAGAGCCAGGCCAGCCCCGGACCTCACCGAAGATGCTCGGGAGCCTGTGTGGCTGTGGCAGCTCATTGGTTTTCTTCAGCAGCCTCCTCTTTAGTGGCCTCACTGCCCGCGGGGCTCGGACGGGACTCGGGCTCGCCCTGAAGAAAGTGACCACGAAGGGCTGTTTGGGGCGTGGCGCTCGGTGTCCCAGCAGACCGGCCAGGCCAGGGTCCACGCTGTGTCCTGAACAGAGAGAGGACAGAGGGCGGTCGGTGAGGGTGGCGTTCTTGCTCATGGGCACGGCAGGGACCTCTCTGCTGGGGCCAGGGCAGGCTCAGGAGCACAGAGGCTGAGACCTGAGGGGGGACCCGCTGTGCGTCAGTTTCCCATCTGAAGACCTGAGTCCTAAGTCCAGCCAGCTCCCTGCAGGCAGGTCTGAAAGAGGCAGTGGGTGGGAGGTCCTTGGGGAACCAGGCACCCTTATGAGTTACGGCCATGAGAATTGACATTTGCAGAGCATTTTGCATGTTTCAAAGTCATTTCACACACACATCTCACTCGATCTGTACAGTAATCCTGCATTTCGTGTTTACAGAAGAAACCTCAAAATTAGGGACCCTCAGCCTCAGGGATCCCCCCTCGGTCTGAGGACTCCAAGGCCCCGTTCAATCTTCCACCCCATGCTTTCTGGGGATGTCTGGGTATGCTTTATGGTAGCACCCAGCTAATTTTAGGAACTGCTAGCATTAGTGAGAGCTGCTCTGATCCCCATTAATGAGACCCCAAGACTCGGGGGCAGAGACACTTGAAGGAGGCCCCAGAGCCGGGGCTCAATCTTCCAGATCAAGTTCTTATCCACTCGGACGGTTTATGGTTAAAAAAGAAGGAAGGCTATAGGCAGGGACATGATTTGGGCCCAGCCCTGGGAATAATGAAGCCTATAAAAATGGGGTTTTATCCCACAGTTGTTGAAAGGCTGAAGATGACAGGAAAAACATAAGCTAATTAGCCCTGGGAATGTAAAGACGCCACCAGCAAAACCACCTTCCTGTACCTCTTTTTTATTTCCAAATATCCTCTTTTTTTTCAATTGTGAAATTAATACAATAACTATAGTAAAACAACTTTAGAGAAAAGCATATCAGTCATAAGCCTCCTCCCCCACTCCAGCATTCTTTTTCGTTTTTCTAGGGTGTTTTCATAGGCTGGTTTTTAAGTTTTACACAGTTGTCAGCACAGTGAAGAAGTCCACATTTTCCCCTCAACTTTTTCACATAAATATTTCCCTGGTTGTCAAAATAGCTCTCAACAATAAACATTCCAAATGCAGAAAATTACTTTGAGTAGATTCACCATACTTTATTTAGCTATTAATTTATTGTTAGACACTTAGGCCATTTCGTTATAAAGATGAAAATGCAATAGATCCTCTTCGTTTGTTTTTTCCTGTGAAATTTTCTTATACTAAATTATAGGAACAGGATTACTAACCCATTTTTATATTTTTTAAAACATAGTATCAATTGTTTAATTTACATGAGGATGCATGTCTTAGGCTGGGTTCTCTAGAGAAACAAAACCACTAAAGCATATAAATATATATACAGAGAGAGACTTATGTCTAGGAAATGGCTCACACGGTTGTAGAGGCTGGAACATCCCACGTCCATGGGTCAGGATAGAGGCCTCTCCTGATGCACGTAGCCACAGGGGCTGGCGAACAATCTTAACCACCACAGTGCACTTCACCTCAATGTTGGAACCCAGATCGGTAGGTTGGAGAGCAGGGCTCTTGCTCACAGGCTGTGAAAATCAATGAATCCCAACGATTGGCAGGCAAGACCACAGGTAAGCTGCTAGCTCAAGTCCCAAGAACTGGAGGTCAGATGAACAGGAGATAGCTATAGAATCCAGAATGAGCAAAAGCCCACAGGCCTTGCCAGAATATTCACTTATATTCAGTGCAGGCCACACGCCCAAGGAAACTCCCTTTCAACTGACTGGCTACTCACAGCAGATTCCATCATGGAGGTTATAAGCCTTCCTGAGGATCCCTGGAAGCGTTTAATCCTAGTTTCTATTCTACAGAAGCAGAAACTGAGATCGAGAGAGTAGTCACTGTTCAAGGTCCCAGAGCAAGCTGCAACAGAGCCAGGATATTCCTACCCTTCCCCAGCAAACTGGGCCGAGGTGCGGGGTTGCGGGGGCAAAGGGCTAGCATCTGGTTTCTTTCAGAAGTCCTACTAATTTAGCCGTCCTGGGAAAGGGCCTCTCCAGCCCTCCTTCCACAGTCAGAGCTCCCCCTTCCCACTGGTTCTGCTTTTTGCCCAACCCATTCTGGTGCGGGATTCCTTGGCTCCAGCTGGCAAGTGGTGAGCCCCTACGCTGCCCAGGTCCCCTTCCCTGAAAGGCAGAGGTGGGGGCTGCAGGAGCCTCTGGGGGCCCAGGACTCCTGCCTCTAGACCTGACTTTGTGAGGGAGCTGACAGGCATGCTGTCCCCTTTGCAGATGACAGGCTATGCTGTGGGCATGCCTCCAGATGTGGGGCACACTGTGGCCTTCCCCCTTAGGCCCGGATGGAGCTGCTGCTCCTCTGAGTCCAGGTGGGCCCAATGACGCCCCCAGTCTCACCTCATTTCTGAGCAGCCCCATCACAACCCAAAATGTCCTGGCAGCTCACCTGCCCTGTCCTGTCCCAGGGCAGGTGGTTAACCCCAATTCAAATCCTTTCCCTAATGCACCCAGGCCAAATATTGCCTCTCCCCAAGGCTTCTCTCTGCTCTAGGTGCCACCTGACCCTTCCCCTGCAGCCCCTGCCCCAGTCAGCCTGCAGATGGGGAAGTAACTCTGTTGTCACATTGAAGGACAATCTGGATGACTGGGTTGGAATCCTTGGAGGGAAATCCCACTGTGGACATGTCTAAGACTGGAACTGTTTTTGACCCTTAGGTTAGTTCTTTAAAACTTGGTAATATGAGAGACCCAGCATCTCCCTCTCTCAACTATCCTAACAGCCTGCCACTTGTCTGCTCTGGAAACCTGTTTTCCACCTGCTGCTGGAAAACTCCTGATACTTAGGGCAGATCAGGTTACCTTCCTCCCAGTAGCCCCAAAAGATGCCCTACTGTCCACTCAGTAGCATTCCATGCCTCCATCCCCTGGCCAAGGTCCCTACTCCCTCCAGGCTCTCCCCTCAGTGAGCACTGTCTCCGCCTCTGCCTCCCCGTCACTCCCTTCCAGGATCTGGTCCTGCCTTCAGGGTGAGGCTCCTTGACCTTTCTGCTCTTATCAGCATCCTCCTATCTGTTGTGTGCACTCTGAGAGCTACCGGTATAAAGCCTATGGTCCCTGCAGGCGTTTTTAACACTTTACACGTACATATTGAGTTTTTCCTTTTATTTTTTGACACTATGGGTTCAGGATAAAATACCTGACAGCCACTCTTGGGTTATGAGGGAGTGTTACACAAGAGGCTAGTTAGAGCCTCCATACAGAAAGAAGGATCTAAGCATTTCGTCTGGATAACACGGGAACACTATGATTTAAGATGAGAAAACTCATCGAAGTCCACCATAGGGTTCGAGTGCACCACCTGTTATAAGCCACAGCCTGTTATAAGCACAGGTGGACTGTTTATTTCTAGAGGAAGCTTCCTGGTGGAATGTCAGCACCAAAAGTCCCTCCTGCAGTCTCTCTCAGCAACCGGTTCACTGTCCCACTGAGATGGTCCTGCCTTCCTTCTAGGGCTATCTATTTAGCTACAAGGAGGAGGAGTGTGGAGAGAGGAAATAAGGATATAGGAAATAAAATTCAGCAACACAATGAAAGGGCCCAGAAGAAAAGTCAGAGGAGCCAAAGGAAATCTGTAGGAGTATTTCTGTCGATCACAAATTCACATGTTTGTATAATATTCTTGGTATTAGTAAAATGGTGCCTTAAGTATACTCTGAGTGCAGTTACTTTCTCCCTCATCATTTTTGTCTCTATTTCATGACTGAACTGTGAGGGAAAACACGTCAATAAAACCCTTCCTATGTGATCATCTGAATTACATGTTGTTGTTGTTGTTCGGAGCCGTAGAGTTGGCAGTGACTCACAGCGACCCTGTGTACAACAGAACGAAACACTGCCTGGCCCGGCACCATCCTCACAATCATTGTTATGCTTGAGCCCATTGTTGCAGCCACTGTGTCAGTCCATCTCATCTACTGTAATGTAAATGAAAGGGCCACCAATGTCCTCACCGATTGTCCCAGAGCTTTCTCAGCACTTACAGAACATACACAATAAGCTTTTATGTTTTTTCTCTGGTTTTTAATTAGAGTCATATGCTTCTTGAGAGAACAAAGTCTGTCCAGCTGTAGGAAGTCTGAGAGCCAGGGAGGAATCTAGTCAGACTGCTTGTGAAACGTGAAAACGTGATGACTGACTTCCTAAGAGGTGAAAATGAAAGCCACACATTCTGTGATAAAGGTTGACTTCACATTTTACATTGTAATTTGCTGCATTGGCTTGAGGTCAGGTGAGACTGTGAAGGCACACCCTGTGCTCTTTTTGATGTCATCCACTGTCAGGCCTTCCCAGAGCTCAATCAGCGTCAGTCCTCTCTTTGGGTGCACGTTGAACACGGCCCTTTCCGTGATGATTCGGTTCACACAGCGCTTCCCAGTCAGTGGCATCGTGCACTTGTCCACGATTTTGGGTTCATTTGCCTTTGAACAGTGCTCCATGGTGACCACCACTCTGGTTTTGGGACTGGACACAAGATCCATGGCACCTCCCATTCCTTTCACCTTCTTCCCGGGAATCATCCAGTTGGCCAGGTCACCGTATTTGGAAACCTGCATTCCTCCCAGCATTGTCAGACCGAGGTGCCCGCCCCTAATCATTGCAAATGATTCATCACTGGAGAAGAAAGAAGCCCCAGGAAGAACAGTGACTGTCTGTTTGCCTGCATTGATGAGATCGGCATCCACCTCACTTTGGACTGGAAATGGCCCCAAGCCCAGGATTCCGTTTTCACTCTGAAGATGAACAGTCATATTTGGGCTGATAAAGTTGCTGGCCAGGAGAGGGATTCCTATGCCCAAATTAGCATACATGCCATCCTCAAATTCCAGAGCCGCCCGTTTGATGATGCGGGTCCTCAGATTATCTTCAGATGTGTGTTTTCCCGCTCCCTCTTGTCGGACTGCTAAGCGCTCAATTCTTTTCTCATACTTTTCTCCCTTTATCAAGCGGTCTACATAAATGCTAGGCACATGGATGTCTTCTGGGGGAAATGATCCGACCTCCACAATTTCTTCAACCTCTACCACTGTGGTTTCTGCAGCTTTGCACATAGGCACGTTGAAGTTCCTTGCGCTTTTCCTGAAGATAACGTTTCCTGAGTGGTCGGCCTTCCACCCTTTCACCAAAGCAAAATCTCCTTTGATTGCTTCTTCCAGAAGGTAATGGTGGCCATGAAACTCCCTCACCTCTCTTGGCTTACTGATGACAGCGAGGTGGCCGTCATCGTAATACCTGATGGGCGCGCCTCCTTCCTGGACCAGGGTCCCGTAGCCCGTGCTGGTGTAGAAGGCGGGCACCCCAGCGCCGCCTGCGCGGATCCTCTCGGCCAGCGTGCCCTGGGGCGTCAGCTCCAGCTCTAGCTCCCCAGCTAAGTACTGGTTCTCGCAGAGAGCGTTCTCCCCCACGTAGGAGCAGATGATGCGTCTGATCTGCTTGGTGGCCAGTAAGAGGCCCAGTCCGAAGTCGTCCAAGCCGACCGTGTTGCTCACTACGGTGAGCCCTTTCACCTGGGTCTTCAGCAGGGCCCCGATCAGGTTCTCCGGGATCCCGCAGATCCCGAAGCCGCCCATCAGGACGGTGGCGTCATGAGGGATGTCCTTGACGGCTTCCACCGCGTCTGTGTAGAACTTGGCGTGGTGTCGGGGGCTGGTGGAGAAGCAGAGAGCACAATCCTTGCGAGCGGGGACGATCCG